TTTCAAAAAGAAAAGCTGTTTACAAAAAATTTCGTGTTTGAGTTCACCCAAACTTAATTTTCTAAAAGATAAATAGTTGTTATAAGAATCAGCTTAAACAACCTTAAGAATAATTACAGAGTAAAGAGGATCGTTTTTTTGACGAAAAAGTACGTTCCATATCTAAGGTTTTCTTATCTGTTGGAGCCTTTTGTTCAACACTTATTGATTACCTATTCGCCTTAAAAACTTCTACCACACCACAAGTGCTTAAACCAGCTAGTGAGGAAGAATGTTGAAGTGTCCAGGCGGCAGTCTCGTAGCTGTTAACTGAAGAAAACATTCTATTTAAAATGGAAAAGATTCTCATGCGTACAGTTTTTGAGAATTGAAACATTTTCTTCATGTTTTTCAGCCCATGTGGTTCTTTGGGACTTTTTATCCGTAAACAACGAGATGAGGTGTATGTTCTTTTCGTGCAGCTTTCAAAGTTAAGTAAGTTAGGGTTTTCTCAAGTCTTAGGTCAAGTTAAGTAAGATTTGACTTGCCCATCTCTCACAGAAATAATGGAAAATTGTTCTACTTCTAAGATGTTTAGCATCAACTATTGGTATAAAAAATTGCAAAAATGCAGCTTAAAAATGACTAAACAAATGTAAAGCACCTAAAAATACTTTTCCAAATCAAGTCGTTTGATTTGACGTGAACTTGAACCATTTTTGATTTGACTTGACCACTTCTGATAATTCTGCAAGTTGAATGGTTGTGAAATTACATGTGGATAAATAGTTTTTCCTGTTATATCAAATACATGTTTAATTTTCTCTTTTGTTAGGTACCATTTATCAACGTTGAACGCTGTTCACGTTAGACCTTTCGTTGTTGATCTCGCGAAAAATCTTTTCTCTTTTGTAGTCGATAATACTAAAATCTCAATCTTGTCTTCACTTGTTCAACAAATAAAATCTGTAGAACAAACTATGCTAATGTATACGTGCTTTATTCATAAAATATCCAGTTTCATCACACAATCTAATAGGGCCATATCTTTCCTAGATCTTATCATAACTAGTTTTCTATAAAGATTATTTGATATATAGACCTTTCTTGTAAAACTAAATTTTGTAGAAACCAATTACGAACTTCTAAAGTAACAATATTCAATATAAATCTGTTAATGTGACATATGTTCAATCACTTATACTCATTCAAGTGATTATTGGTTGCCAAATGAATAGGGAGAATAAACTGCTACGTTTTTCTTGAGAAACATTTTATTCCATTCTAATTGACATCATATTAAGTTCTCATCAAATAATATATTAAGAAATAACTATTTTTCAGTAATAATCCCTATTTTAATTTATATGTTGATACAGAACAACGGATATTTTTCAATGCCGATTTGATTATAATAAAAAAAATCTACTATAAACTTATGTAATGTCAGAGAAGCAATGAACAATTATATTAGTTGTCAGATATTGAACATATAAATCAATCCTTGTTATGAATTTACACAGATAATTTCAGAATAGCCTTGATTTAAAGAAATGGTGTGATAAGTCTAGCTTTCTTCATTATGGCATGTTAAGTACTGTTTATTTTTGCAGATGCGTATATTACTCTATTTGTCTTATCGTGACTACGCTATTAAAGGCAATTTTCCGTCACCCTCTCTATTTGCAACTGATATAAACTACGTCCAAGATATAATTGAAAAATCTATTCTTAAGTTTTGTCCTAGTCGTCGACCAAATATTTTATTATCAACATATACCGAATGTTTTGTTCATTCCATATGTAATACGGCAACAATCGACTTTCAATTGCCTGGCAAACAAAAAATAGAAGATTTAAATACGCCATGGTTCAAATTTAATATGAATAAAATTCTATATGATAGTAAGCGAACAATGAGAGTTTTAGATGCAAAATTTGTTCACGATGCATTCGATCCAAAATTAGCAACAAATAGAACATATATTTATCGTTTTATTGTAAGTAAAATAGGATTTGTAGACGCATGCTAGTAAAATGGGATTGATTCAATTGCTCAAAAACAATGCCAAAATGAGATTATTACCTTATAGATGCCGTATTTTAACAACAGAGATATCCAGTCATCTCACTAATTTCCACGAATCCATATTCGAAAAAGGATTGATTGTATCTTCTAGTTTAATCTATATTTATTAGTCAGCTGAAATAAGCGTCATAGATAGTCAGGAATCGCAAAGCATTTTATCTGGCTATTGTATCGTCTATTTTTAGTCTGGTGAATATCCAGTATTGAATACAATTGAAGAACATTTAACAACTTATATTCCGTGTCAACGAGAACAATCATTGTGTTTAAATCGATTAAATGAAGCCATATCTATTATAAACAATAATATGTATGATTATTCGTCGTTCACAACACCTGAAGCACGTCAGTTATTAAAACAAAATCAAGTATCAACAAAACGAAAATTAAAAGTAAAAATGTACGATAGTACTCAATTATTTCAAGAGGTTGATATAAATAAAAAGAACAAAAATCATGCATTTTCTATTGAATTAACAACATCAAATTTTTTATATCAAATGGTTAGACGATTGTCAACATGTTTAATTCAAATTGGACAAGGACTTTTGAATTTAAATGATCTAAAATCAATGTTAACTCATCAAATGGAGTATCAACCAATGGACGGATTGTTAAATTTGAATGGACTCTACTTGAAAAATGTGGAGTATAATGAGAGAGATTTTAATCGATATGTAACTGTCACAACATCAACGACAACAACATCATCAAAACTTAGAAAAATAGATCCACTTGCGCCCATAATGACTGGGGAGGAATAATAATTTGTTTTGCTTTTGTACATTTTTTCATCCTTTTTCAGAATCACATTTGTAGAATAAAGAGGGATCCATGACTCAATGAGTCATAATATTATGGTCAACGTTTTCATATTGAAATAAGCAAAGTCTAGTTCCAGTAGTACGAGGAGAGTTTCTAATATCTTTAACCAACCATGTCAGTATTTGCAAAACATTTAAGTTTTTGATAATAATGAAATTTTGTCCTCCATTTCTTTTCTAAAATATCGATAAAGCTAAATCAAATTATTCAGTTTTCCCATAGAATCATGATTTAAAGACCAAATTGCAATGTATCGTGGTATAGCCAGCTGATTGTACACAATGCATATACACAGTTGAACATTTCAATCAAAGAGTCTTCATTTAGTCAACAGCTCTTGTAATTTTGGTTTCACATTACTGTACATATTTTTGACATATTGACGTCAAGTATGTAACTGAGTTCTGTATTGCATGAATCCAAATTAGTTAGAAGAAGTCATATTCACTATGTGTATATTTGTCTTGAATATCATTACTAGAAACACGGATTAATATTCTAACAGTTTATTTTACTTTTTCACATGTACATGACAAGAACATTTATGTCGATTTTTTTTCTGTTCATAATAAAAAATCAACGGGTGTTTTTGTTAGCAAATCAGAACAGAAAAGAAAAATCATAATTTTTTTTTTGTCTATAAACGTCGTGTGTACAACAAGTTCAAGATAGGAAGCCATAGAGAAAAAAAATTTAATTTCTCATCTTATTTCACTTGCAAAATCAAAAAGGCAAAACAGGAGTATTAAAGAAACAATAACAATAATAAGACTATACAGTATTTTCTGAGACTTTTTCTTTTTACAATACATACAAGCATGCACAAAGGTATATAGAAGCTCTTTTACTTGTTCATACCTATTTTCTTTTTCTTTCGTTATAACACGTATATTTTAGTTTTGAATAATCTACAAAAAAAAAAATATCAACAACAACGAAAAGACCATGATTTCTTTTTTTATGACTGTACGTCGTCGTTTTGTGCGTATGAATGTGCGGTTTCAAATTATTCTTTTTGTCGTATAAATTAATGAATTATGAACCTTTGCGGTACACATTCACGTCTATGAAATGTTATAGCTAGTTTTGAATCTCATATATTTTGAAAGTGAAGTTTTTAAAATGTTTTCGTCTTTATTATTATTGCTGTTGTTAATCTTTGACTTTCCATTAGTAATAACAACTGCACGTATTTATCCCTTTAAAAATTCATCACGGCACGAAATTACTACCACCATTCGTAGCATAAGGTTTCAAACCGATAATTCGGAATATCGTTTACGTTGTCCATACAATATGACGAATATACAAATAATTGATGTTAATTATTCGTCGTTACAATGCATCCAAACGTACATTGCACATTATCAATATGAAAAACCGATATGTTCATCAATTCATAAAACATATTGTCTATTCTATACAAAACCAATTCGTTTAGATTCAGTATCGTGTCCATTTCTATCAGACTACGTTGATATTACATATCAATGTTCATCTACTCAAATTTACTCGCCCAAAACAAAATATCAGAAAAATAATTACAAATTTTCAAATAGTAAAAGTTCCACAACCGTAATATCAAAAACTATAACTATCGTTAATATTACGCAGCATCGTGGTACAATTGGATATGCAAATCATTTGCCAGATAATCTTGGCGTTTTTCTCATCGGTTTAAGTATTATTGGTGCACTCAGTTTATTAGCCTGTTGTATTTGGCTAATACGTTGTGACACAAAACATAATGATCGTCAGCATAGAAATGATAATGACTATTATTCTGAACGCGTTCCACTTGAACGTACGCCCACAACAGTTTCATCGTCATCGCCACATTCTTTATTAATCAATAATCAAAAGGAGAATCTAATTCAAATAAACGATAATGATGTAGCCTATAATGATCTGACACTAATGCAATTAAATCAAAATGATCATTACTGTGAACATTGTTTAATTAATAATGATTATTATCCAGAAGGACGACGATATTCTACCATATTAGATTATAAAAGTTCATCCTATGGTCTAGAATTAGATGGAATTGTTGGAAATCTAACGCAAAATACCGGTGGTTCAACGGCACAAATTGTCGAAAATATGAATAATAACAATAATACGACGACGATGACGAATGATAAAAATATTATTCGAATAGATGAAGAAGAACCGTGTACATGTTACATGGAAAACCAATCAAATCATTATAATACACTAAGGTCCATTCGTCCACTCACAACAAACAGTATGTTATCATTAAGTCGACAAAGTACATCGAGTCAAAATGATTCATCTGCTATGGAGATGTATATACCACCCATACGTCCACTATCATCAGATACGACCAGTGGTGAAAAGTATAATAAAATATTTTTGACAACAAATCCATTTGAAGATGTTTCACAGCAATTACCTGTTATTATTGAACATAATAATCACAATCAGCATTATCAACAACAAGATAATACGGATAGTAGTCTCTCATTGACATTTGTATCAAGACAATATGATTAGTAGAATATATAAATAATTTATTTTTGACATGTGGACCCTTCTATTCAATTCTATGGCTGATTACTGAGTCAGCAATAAGGTTTTGATTTCATGCCTACGTNAAAAACCACTGAAAGCTTTCTAGAAAGATGACAACAATATTTCTAAAATAGCAAAAATTTCCATTTCGTATGATTTTTGAGAAATGACAGTCATGCCTACGGACTGTGTATTCATTCTCATATAGATCTTGCAATCTTCACTACAATTATTTGAATCACATTTTGCAAATATTTGAAAATGACTTAAAATTAGTATGTAAAAGTAATCCGTAATTGGCACCTATAAAACCATCGAACCATTTGTTTGAACGACTGTGCGTTATTTTTTCTTTCACTACTATCGTTTCAATAAATTAAATGTATTCTGATATTTAAACTTTTCTACTCTAGTATTTTTTGTAAAAAGCTATGATTATCAATATTAGCTATTGTTCTATTCACTACAAATCGACAGCTATCTTGTAATATATTTTGTGCAATATGCTTTATACTGTACAACTCATCTTTTTTGTAATAAAATATACTTTAGAAGCAATAACGGAGTTTCGTTCACAAGTTAGTACTGTGTGGATTTAAGTTTTCTATAGTTTTCGGTTAAAAAGCATCTATAATATACGATGAATCAAAATAGTTAGTGCTTGTTTTGGTAGATGTTTTGTTTATGGTTAGAAAATGTGAGAAAAAAAATCAATAGTAAGTGGGACAAGTAACTGTCCTATCATCTTATTTATCTTAATTAAACTAACCACTCTATAATTTAACAAATATTGACTAAACTCTAGATATACGAAACATCATCTACTAAACTATCACAAGCTCAGCAAAACGAAAAATTCGATTACATCATCTATATGTATATGCGTATGTTCAATTAAATCTAAAGTGCGTGTACGAGTGATCGATAAAAATAAGTTGACAATGTTGATATAACAAATGAGAGTAAAACATATTCGAAATATTCAATATATAAAGTTACATCTCGATTAAACATTAATAGGCAGTATAGATAAAAAAGAAAAACCTATCATCAAAGTTATGTTGGTTATACAATTCTAGACAATTAACTGTTTTCTAAGGACATCAAGCGTAAATGAAAAGAACAAATAACATGTTCGTGCAAATTTGAAGTTCTTAATTCTTAGCTATCTATCTATTATATCTACTATATCCTGAGATATAACTGTTGTTTTTGTTTATATTCGAAACAGCAATAAAACATAAACATTCAATTATGCTTGTGTTTATAACTGGTCATGTGATTTCTTAGTGACATATTCAAAAATCTAAGATTTCTAAAATCTATGCTGTTCTAGGTAACTCATCAAATATGTATTTTCTTTTTATGATGAGTAACGTCTAATGATATGAAACACAATCACAATTAATATTTTTCATTTGATTATGAATTTTAAAGTTTTTCGATAAAATATATCAAATAATTTTAATCAGTTTAATTCTGATCAATGTGAACCAACGATAATTCTGCAAAGAATGAGAAAATTGACCAATCCGTCATATTTAGATTGTTCCCATTGCTACGGTGATCGATTAGCATGTAACATATACGATGAACAAGTCAACAGTCATAAACGGAGAAAATAATATCATCATTGTGATCGACCCTCAAGTTCAAATCATCAAAATTTTGACGGTAATTAGCGTATAATCTCATCTTAACGGAGAAAAGTAAAAAGGCAGTTTAAAGGACTACACACGCAGTAATCAACAGACAAATAGAGAGAAAGATAATTATTGTTCACACTAGAACTGTGAACAGTATAAGCTGAGATTTTAAAGCAAGCTTGTCAGAGAAGAATAATACGAATAGATGATATGACTGTCATTTCTCAAAAATCATACGAAATGGAAATTTTTGCTATTTTAGAAATATTGTTGTCATCTTTCTAGAAAGCTTTCAGTGGTTTTTTAAGTGCTTGGTTCTTCCAAAGATTTACAAAACACCCGAGTAAAAAAGTCAATGACTCGAAAATCAGCGTAACTATTCGTTCAGATAAATATCACACGTCATCTTCATTCCATGTAATACGCTTTGTTCATTACTATTTGTACAGCTCAGATAAAAACTGTGCAACCGATGTTTGTTCAAAGATGTTTTATGAATGATTACCTTTTTTTATCAAACAAAAAAACAACATCTACAAAAAGCATATCATATAACAATAACGTAAAAAATAAAAAACAAACAAAGAAACAAACAATAAACGCACCTATACGATGTTCACCAAAAAGGAACAAAACACTTGCTATTTCATGTTAGGGATGAGAAAAGAAAAGATGATTGATCTAATCTGTATCAACAATTAATCGATATAGATCCATTGTCCCTGAGGAGAAAAAGAGAAAAAACAGCAACAAATAACAACATACATTAGACACATACACACAGAAAAGTAGAAAAATAGTTCACTTTTTCGTTTTTTGTAAAAATAATGAAATAGAGGCATACGCACTCTTGTCATGAACGAATATGTGTATAGTATGAGTGTATAATATATACAAAATATAAAAACAGAAATAATAATAAATAATTATGCTCTTCAAACTTATAAAAGAGAGAGAATATAGAGTACTCATACGAATAGAAATAGAAACAACACGGTTCACGGGGTAAAACGTATGCACATACATATGAACGTTATAATTTTTTTCTTTTTTAAGAATAACCTAATAAATTTTGTACAGCTAATGCATCTTCATCTAATGTTGTATTTGAAATATCATCATAAAACTGATCATCAAACGTTTTATCTAATGTAGATGATATACTACTTGTCAATTGAGTATTTCTACTTGTTGTACTAGTTGTTAAAGAAGATTGTTGTGATGGATGAAATAGATCAATACCCATTATAGAATTAATAGCTAATTGAGTTTCATCAACAGCTGTTGTGTTTGATGAACTCGTCGTATCCATATCAAATAAATCAAATTGATTTGTATCAGTCGAATATGAAAGATAGGAATCAGAAGATGGAACAGTTGTATTTTGATCTAATAATACATCATTAAATAAATTATTTTCAATAAAATCTTGTGACGATGTGCCAGATAGATAATCTGATGTAGAATTCAACGAAGTTAAAAAATCATCAATTTCACTTGTAGTTGAACAATGTGTAACATTCAATTGAGTTTGTTGATTTGCGGATGGTGATGTATAAACGGGTGTAGGAGTATCTAGAAATACAATTTTAGTTTGAAAAAAGTATCATCTCTGATAAATTTCAAATGCAAAAAAAAAACTAACATCGCCATATGTTTTTTAAACATGGTAAACTAAGCATTTGCTCATCTTACTTTGAATATCAGCTGCAAAATGTTTCCTCAGTCTTTCATTTGATTGTAATTTTTCATTTTCAAATTCTTCTTTCATATCATCATAACGCAATTTGTCCAAGATATATGAATCGTATACATGATTATCAAACTATAAAAAAAAATTTCAGTGAGATTGTTGGAATCATACAAATCAATATTGTATAGAAACAAAGAGAAATGCTACGAAAAGAATTACTTGATCATTCGAAAAATGAAATTTTGAATATTTTTCTTTTAAATTTTGTATTGATGTTAATAAGTCGGATGATACAGATTCGAATGATTCATTAACTATAGCCAAGAAGTAGAAAATAAAAGAAAAATGATAAGCCAAATGAATTTTTTTAAATTAAAATAATGATTTTCTTACATTGTTCACAATCTTCTATCGTTGGATCATTTGGTGATTGTTTTTGATAAACATGATAGCGTGTCAAACGTTTAATTGCATCGGCATGATTGAAAAATTTTGATTTAAAATCAGGATTTAATACACCATTATGATCTTTCCTCAATTGTTGATTTATTCTAAAATATAAAAACAAAAATACATAAAATAAACGTAAGACAAAAAGAGTAGTAAAAAAAATAACAAACTTACAAATCTGCACTTGTAATACGCAGTGACTTTGTGGTAGTAGATGGAACCCCAAAAACAATTTTCGTCTTTGAATTCTAAATAAAGATGCCAGAATAATTCAACAATTTGTTTTCTAATATAATAAAAAAATTCTCAATCACTTTAGCATAATAAGTCATCTAAGTGACTATATACATCTATGATCAAGCCATTAACGATTTTATAAAAAAAAAGTCAAAACCAAATTAGGGAAAACTTTTGTAGGTATATATGAATTAAATATCTCAAGAGAAAATGTCAAACTGAAGTTTATACAATGTGAAAAGCAAAGTTTTTAGTATAAAAAAGATATTAAGATTTTCGTTAGATCAATATGATAAACAGTTGAACTTACAATACTTAATGTTGTCGATGCATTTGTTCCGATGTGTTTTGAAAGATATTTTGGCACAAGATCACGTTGGGATTGAATAAATTGCTGTTGTTTATCGACAGCTAGTTGACCAATTTGCATATCTAGTTTATAAATATAAATTTTTTGTTCCCAACTAAGTTCAATAGGTAATATACCATGGGCTTGTAAATCGGCTAAATTAACAAATTTTAATTTTTTTAATATGTTATTTAGTAGTTCATTTTGTTTAGCTATTGGCAAGTGAATAACTGTTGTAGGCGAAGAGGATGATGATGATGACGTTGTAGCAACGGTGATATTATTGTTTATGTTTGGAAGTAAAGATTTTGAAGATGATGTTGCTTGTGTGACTACTACTGTTCCATGGTTGTGTACTTGATCTCCTACGGTTACTTCTGTTCCTACTGTTGATGATGTTGTCGGTATTGAACGTTGAGATGAAAGAGTATTTAACGTTGATGAAACATCTAATAAACGTTTTCGATGTTGTCCATCTAGTTTCGCTTGTTCAACGGCATTATTCAATATTTCACGATATCTTCTAATACGTTTGAAAAATTCATGGTCTTTATCGGTGAATTGAGTATTTTGATTTTGCAATTTTTTCAAATATTCATCAATTTTAATTATAGCCATTTCCGGTTCTAAAACAAAAAAGAAACGTTGATGAAAATAACTAACAAAAAGATGAAAAGAAATCTGAAGTTACCTTTACCACGTGTTTGTAAATCATTAAATAATTCTGTGGATAAATCAGCAACGGTTGTTACCGAACTTAAGGTAGAGTTTATATCATTTATATTACCATTTATCGTACGTGTCGAACCTAAACGATTAACAGAATATGAGAAAGATATAGAAGACACACGCTGAACGGGATACACAAAGCAAATTTCATACCTGGTATATCTGATGAACTCAATAAAATATTAGATTTAATGATATTAGAAGTTAAACCTGGAGTTGAACCTATAGCATTTGATTGATGTTGTTCGGCTGGTAAAAATTTTAAATTTGCCAAATTGACAATATTTGTTGTTTTATTATCACAGATTATTTGTTTTCGTCCGTTCGATGTGGTCGCAAAGACGATACGAGGTTGCTGTTGTTGCGTTACCGGTGTCAAAACAAGTGGTGAAGACGTTGACGTTGGTGTTGTTGTTATGGGATCATTCTGATTCAATTGCAGAACGATACCACCATTTGCTTGTGAATGAATTTTACCTTTGAGCTGTTGTTGTTGATGATTATGAGAAACGGTTACTGTACGAGTTTGAAGTTGAGATTGTTGTAAAGAACTACATGAGAAGAATGCAATCATATCCTTTCAAAGAGTTATCAAATAATAGTTACTTTGTTGGAGATATGAATTGTTGTGAGGTGTTGTTAATTACTGGTCTCGTATCTGCGACTGGGCTTATAAAACGAAGATTATTAGTGCTAACTGGATTTGTAACCGTTGCGAAACGTTGTAAACTGTTAGAATCATTCTGAATGATTATCGAGCCTAGAATTAGAAAGAAAATCGAATTTAGAGTAACTTTCCGAAGTTTCTTGAAAGCGTTCAAGATAAACGTTTTTCATAAATGCATATCCAAAAAGAAAAAACTTTGTTTAACTCTTTCAGGAAATTGAAGTGTTTCCAAGATCTGCCGATATTTGTCAGAGACAATGGAGACAAAAGCGAGAAAAACAACAATTTCACATGATTGGGGCTACTTTAAATAAGCAATGAATGTGTTTTTTGCTGATATTCCAAACAAGTTATTTATCTTTAAAAAACTATAGGAAAAATACCGTTAGGTGCATTTTGTCCAATTCCATTTTGCTGTACGTAATGGACAATTGGATGATTGTTATTAGTGCCATTATGTGATGTTTGCTGCGGCGATACGAATGACTGATTAATTGATGGTTGAATTTGAACAGTAGAAGAATCAACTAATTTCTGCTGTTCTATACCGCTAAAAGATGCACTATTTGATATTACGCCGTTGATTTGCGGTTGTAATTGTTGTGGAGACGTAGCTGCTTGTGGCTGCGAAGCTGACTAAAAAAGAGCATAAATTAAGTAAATTAGACTTCGACACAGGAATAATTCTAGTGGAAAAGGTTATTTACCATTTGTTGTAAACCATACTTGACCCCTTGTTGCTGTTGAGATGGTTGGCTAGATGTTGGTTGTGATACTGATGCATTAGCGGTGTTGTTATTATTACATTTTTGTTGTAAAAGTTTTGTAAGCATACTCAATGGTATAAGAGTTTGTTGCCCATTAATATTGATTGCAACCATTTGTTGGGAAGAAGAAGCATTTGTGACTGCTTGAGGTTGTTGCGTTGACTGGTTTGGCAATGGTTGTTGAATAACAGTTTGATTTAGAATAACGTTAACATTCGTTTGTGAGCCAATCATTTGATTGAGTACATTGCCAAAAGCTTGATCTGATTGAACAGTTGGTTGTTGTTGTGGAGGAAATTGATTTTGTTGATTCAAAACAATAATATTGTTCGGAGTTGGATTTGAAATTGGTGCAGATGTTGAAGAAAATTGAGGCGCATTGTTATTTATATTGAATGTATTCTGAGTTATTTGAATATTGTTGTTCGTATTGTTGTTAGTATTATTTGTATTATAAGTATAGTTCGATTTTGTCTCTTGCTGTGATTGACCAACTGAATATACGCGTTGATCATAACGTCTTTCATTCGAATTTGGCATTGTATTCGATGAGGACGGATATGTTTGTTTTTGAATTGAATCTGGCAAGGATTTATCGAGTCTAAACGAAACAATTAATTGATCAGTTTTGGTTTTACTGTATGATTGTCATTATACAATTACTTTTGTGATGAGATTTGTTGATGAAGTTGTGATGATGTAGAATTTTTATCAGGTGATCGAAGATATGCGTCCAGTGCTGCCGGATCGCTAGGAAATAAAAAGCATCGATTAATAAAAGAACTAGTTGATGGGTAACATTTAAAAAGAATTATAAAACGAATCTATCGGAAAGGACGGAAGCTCACACGAAGGTAAATCTGTCCACGAAGATTTTGTTGCATCCAGTGGTTTAGTTTTACAGAAGATGATTGCCTATCTCATAACTGGGCGTTCTCGGGCTCAAAAAGTTGATACAATAAAAAAATATTGACATTTCACGCCTATTTCG